TTTTCACCCATGGAGAGGATTAAGGTAACAATAGGGAGCATTTACTGAACACTGCCAGGTGTCAGGCGCCAAGCATTTCATCCCTCTTAAGCCCTCCAGGCCATTAGTACAGCACTTCTAATTTATAGATGAAGACAATGGGGTAGAGGGAGCAAGCAGCTTGCCACACCCACAGCTAGTGAAATGTAGGGATCCTAGTCAATGCTCTTAAGCAATGGGGTACTATCTGGGATTATAGTTGGGAACCATTGTTTTCAGCTCTTCAAATATTATTTGCATATAAGATAACCTTTTAAAGAATTCATTCACCTAGTCATTCATTCATTCAAAATCTGCTTAGTAGGTTCCCACCCTTTGGCCAGATCCTGTCTTTCTGACCTATATAGTAGTTAAGAAAATAGAGAAAGAACTTTCACCTGGGGGACTTATAGCATAGGGTAGATACAACAGAAACAAACAAACAATCAACCAAACAAAAAAACTCCAAGATAAATAAGTATAACAGTTATTTTGTTATTCGGTGGTAAAATCCTAAATCTTTTTCTCCTTTCCCTTCCTTCCTTCCTTCCTTCCTTCCTTCCTTCCTTCCTTCCTTCCTTCCTTTCTTTTTGAGACAGGGTTTCTCTGTGTAGCCTTGGATGTCCTGGAACTTGCTTTTAGACCAGGCTGACCTCATACTCAGAGATTTGCTAACCTCAAAATCACAGAGATCAGTTTATCTCTGTCTCCTGAGTGCAGGGATTAAATACATGTGCCGGCACTCACCACCCAGCCTAATTCTGTATGTATATTAGATCATGGCACAGGGTTATTTTTGGTGGTGTTGTCTTTTTGTTGTTGTTGTTGGTTTTTGAGACATGGTTTCTCTGTGAAACAGTCCTGACTGACCTGGAACTCACTCTGTAGACCAGGCTAGCCTGGAACTCACAGAGATCTGCCTGTCTCTGCCTCCTGAGTGCTGGGACTAAAGGAGTGTGCCACCATAGCCTGACTCAGGGCACAGGGTTTTAAAAGTTTGTTTGAGAATCAGGGTCCCTCAGTGTAGTTCAGGTTGGCCCTGAACTTGAAATCTTCCTGTTTCAGCTCTCCCGAGTTTAAACATGACATATGAACTGTACTCATATTAATGAAAATGTACTCAAATATGAAAATAACACCTGTTTCCTCTCCATAGGCTGTTTTCTGAAAGGGACCTGGGGGACCTTGGACATTCAGACTGTATTCTAAAGCTTTCTGGCCCAGCTATTGTTATACCTCAAGACTGCTGCTCAATCCTTGCAGGGATTGTTTCCAAAATGATGGGGGAAAGCACAGAATTCAGAAAATCAAGTCTGAGGTTGTTGAAGAAGCATTCAGAAAACGTCAGGGCGCAAAAAAAAAAAAAAAAAAAAAAAGGCCGGGCGTTGGTGGCACACGCCTTTAATCCCAGCACTTGGGAGGCAGAGGCAGGCGGATCTCTGTGAGTTCGAGGCCAGCTTGGTCTACAGAGTAAGTTCCAGGACAGCCTCCAAAACAATACAGAGAAACCCTGTCTCGAAAAACCATAAACAAAAAACAAAACAAAATGTCAGGGCGTTGAGCTGGCAGCAATCTCTCTCTCTCTCTCTCTCTCTCTCTCTCTCTCTCTCTCTCTCTCTCTCTCTCTCTCTTTTGGTTTTTACGAGACAGGGTTTCTCTGTATTGTTTTGGAGGCTATCGGTCCAGCCCGGCCTCGAACTCACAGAGATCCGCCTGCCTCTGCCTCCCGAGTGCTGGGACTAAAGGCGTGCACCACCACTGCCCGGCTCCCCTCCTGCTTTTGAAATGGCACTTTTTGGCTCTGTAGAGAGACTGACTAGTGCTTCACAGAATTTGACCTATAGAAAAGCAGTGTCTTTACCTAAAGATTTTTCTGGGTGGCAAGGAGTGGGAGAATGCCCAGCAAGAGAGACACTTTAGTATCTTGTACCTTTTCTGCCCCACCGTCCCTTTCCCTTCCTCCTATAAACGTCTCTTTGCATACCTGAGTCCCTTCAGATGGTATTTTGGGGGGAGGGCAGTGGCACCTTCTTAATCTTCTACTTTTTTTTTTTGAGACAGGATTTTTCTGCACATCCCTGACTGTCATGGAACTTGATCTATAGACCAGGTTGTTATCCTCTGCTCTTTTATTTGTTTTTCAAGACACGGTTTCTTTGTGTAGCTTTGGAGCCTGTCTGGGAACTCACTCTGTAGACCAGGCTACCTTTGAACTCACAGAGATCTGCCTGCCTCTGCCTCCCAAGTGCTGGGATTAAAGGTGTTTGCTACCACTGCCTGGGCTTTTCTCTTAAACCTGACTTCATTTAGCCAAATTTCTCTGAAGTATTGGCTTTCAAGTAGCAAGCAGATGAACCTAAGTCCTATGATACTCTCTCCTTTATTCCAAACAATTATTTCCTCCCATATATATTTTTTAATTTTAAGTTTGTGTGTGGGGGGGGAGAGAGAGACAGAGACACACACACACACACACAGAGTTTTTGTACATATATGTGTGGATGAATGTACTTATTTGTTCATGGAGGTCAGAAGAGGGCATTGGATTCCTCAAAGCTAGAGTCACAGGCCTTTACAGGGACGTGGCTTGAGGCATAGACTCCAGTGCCTGGTGGGACTTCCTTCTTCCTAAGTAACAATGTATGAAAGTGATAGGATATCTTTTCTGAGAACATGTAACAATAAAAGACACAGGCCAGAGAGGTGACTCAGTTGGTAAAAAATGCTTGCTGCCCAAGCATGAGGACTTGAGTTCAAACCTCTGGCACCTACTTAATGTGGCTGTATGTGGTTGCACCTATTCATAACCCTGGCACTGGATGTGGGGACAGGCAGAGACAGATGGATCCTCAGAGTCTGAGCAGCCAGATTCCAAATTCAGTGACCCTGTCTCATGGAAGTAAGTTGGAAAGACACTCAGAAGATTACACTCAGTGATCTTTGTGTCTTCACATGTGTGAACGCACACACACACACACCAATAATATAATTTTTTCTTTGTTTTTTTGAGATAACGTTTCTCTATATTGTTTTGGAGGCTGTCCTGGAACTCGATCTGTAGACCAGGCTGGCCTTGAACTCACAGAGATCAGACTGCCTCTGCCTCCCGAGTGCTGGGATTAAAGGCTTGCGCCACCAACACAAGGCCCAATAAGATAATTTTTAAGGATTTCGATTTCATCCCTTCTCTCTCTCCGCCTGGGGAGGTTTAACCCAAAGCCTGGAATACACCACCCAAGTGCTCTAATGTTCATATTTCCCTTCTTTTTGACCCCTTACTATGGCGGCAGGGGTGGGGGGGTGCTGCATTTTCTGGAGATGCAAATTGGAACTGTTGTTACTGCCAAGCAGCCAGAGTGAACCTGCAAGAGGACGCTCAGGGTTTGAGATAACTACAGCCCTGCCTCACATTTTATTTTGATCCAAGGCAGAGGAGGAGAGGAAGACAAAGATGAGAGGAAAGGTGGAGACACTCCAAGCTGGAGGATCATGCTAAATTGCATCCAGATTCCTGACCCAGAAAAACTGGAAAAAAAAAAAAAAACAACCCATGTTTTTGCTTGTTTAAAGCTGCAAAAGATTGGGGTGATTTGTTACCTTAACATTGTATACTTAGTTGAAAACATTACTTACTAGTCAAAGTAACTATGTAGCACCCCCAGAGCCTGAGCGCTGCACTGGGCAAAAGCTAGCAATATCCATAATCAGTTTATTTCTTCATAGACACAGATGCCATTACATGTGTTTTCCTTCCCAGTTTTGGCCACTAGAAAGCTCAGAGTCAGTTATGGCTCAATGTTAACAGTTGTGCAAAGCCCCTACGACCTGCTTATCGATTTTCTCACGTCTCCCCTTTCGTTCCCTTTCCCATGTCTTGATTTGTTGTTGTTCATTTTTATCCTTTTTGTATGAGTTAATGTTAAGTCCATATCAAATCCAAATTATAGAGAAGTATTCATGAACACATTTAAAAATAGGTTTTTTGAAATATAAAAATAGTTTTGCATATTTAAGAAAAAAGTTTTTCACATGTTGAACACAAGATGACTGGAGGTGGTGCCTGGGTAGATCATGTCATGCAAACGTGTCTCTGGAGCTCTGGAGCCATTGGTCAGGGATAATTTGGATTGGATAAGAAATATCAAGTGATAACGACGGAAAGGAGGGGGAGAAGGGCATCTGACTGCTACCAGGGGCCAAGTGCTTACCCAGTCATGCACAGTAATAGCATCTTTGAAATCGATCCCTTACAACATCCCCCCTAGGGCTAAACCAAGCCACCTTGCGCCTCACCCCTTACTCAGCCACACCCCTCAATTCCCCCGATCGCGCCTCGGCCCCCTTCCAACAACACACCAGTGGTTTTGCGCTCCACCCTTTCCCTCCGCTCGCGCCTTCTCCGCCCCACTTTACCCCGCCTCTTCTTTGACCGCGCCCTCCAGTCTAATGAATCCAATACCTCAGTCCCGCCTTCCACTTGCGCCACGCGGCCTTGGCAGGTTGAGACCTCCGCCTCTTCCCCGCCCGCGCGCTTCTGCTCCACACCGCCCCTTTTAAGTTAAACCACGCCCACTCCGGCAGCCACGCCTTCCGTATGCGCCGCGCCGCCTCCCTGCTGCTGCGCGCTCCGCCTCCTCCCTCCCCACAGACGAGCTCTTTCCTCGCCCCGCCCCAATTCTGGCCAAGCCCCGCCCTCCCTCAAGCCCTTCCCTCCCTCAGACCCCGCCCCCCGCATGCGCCGCACCGCCTCCCCGGCGGTTGCGCGCTCCGCCCCTCCCTCCGTGCCCGCGCGCGCCTTCCCCGCCCAGTCCGCCTCACTCCTCTCGGGGCGGTTGGGCCGCGCGCCTGTGGGGGCGGGGCCCGGAGGAGGCGACCGAGCCAATGGGGCGCGGCGGTGGCGGCGGCGGCGGAGGCGGCGGCGGCAGCGGCGGCGGCTGGGTCGGGCCCCGACGGGCGGCGGCGTCTGAGGTGGAGGCGGAGGGAGGCGACGGCGGCGGCGGCGGCGGCGGCGGCGGAGGGGGGAAGATGGCGGCGCCCGTCCTGCTGAGAGTGTCGGTGCCGCGGTGGGAACGGGTGGCCCGGTATGCAGTGTGCGCCGCCGGGATCCTGCTCTCCATCTACGCCTACCACGTGGAGCGGGTGAAGGAGAGGAACCCGGAGCACCGGGCCCTCTGCGACCTGGGGCCCTGGGTGAAGTGCTCCGCCGCCCTGGCCTCCAGGTAGCCCGGCTTGAGTGAGGGGAGCGCGACGCGGGTGGCGACGGGGGGGGGGCGGGGAGCGCGCGGGGAGCTCCGGCCTGAGGGAGCGGGGCCCGGGCCGCGACACGGACGGTGGCGACCGGGGGGGCGGCGGCCGAGGGCAGGCCGCCGGGATGAGGTGGCACGGTGCAGCCGGGAGGGCGCGGGCGCGTCCTGGCCGGCGTGACTTGTCTCCCTGTTGTCGCTGTGCGAGGCGCCGGTACAGGGATCGGCGTTGCCAGTGTCCATCCCCGGGGTCCTCGGACCTCGGCTGCCCCGGGGCAGTGTGGCCGGATGTGCACTCTCTCGCGGGTGACTGTCCCCACCACCCTCCGGTTGTCCAGGACAGGTGTTTTCGGTGCTCAGGCCTCTTTGTACTCCGTAGAGTTAAAGAGAATTGGCAGCCTTCTGGAGGCGACAGTGACATTTGCGGGTAGACACGCATTTGACCCTACTCTGGAAGAGAGAGATACCAGCACTTAACCTATGTGATTTCTTGGATTTTTTTTTCCCTCGTGTATTTCATGAAGTGTGCCCAGCAGGGGGAAAATGGCCAGAGTTTGGTTCTACTTTAAGTTTTGTGTAAAAGATGAGTATGTTGCGTGTAGTGAAGATGTTATATGCACATACTACGATGGCTTTTATTTTGAGAAAGGATCCACACTGCCCTGGAACTCATCTGGCTGAAACCACCGTAGCTATTCTTCTGCCTCAGGCTCTTGAATGTCGGGAAATACAAGCATGCACCACCATGCATGGCTTAGAATGACTTTTAAATGTTGCTGATTAGTATTAACGGGATAATCCACAAAAGATTAAATAGGCACAATTTTGCTAAGCTGGTTTGTTTGAACAATTTTTGTTTCTTGGAAATACAGTTGATTTTTTGTTACATTTTATTTAGTACGCTAATTTGTTTTTCTAGCAAATTTCCAAGTAAATTACTTGGGAAAATTATTTTACGCTTTTTAATAACCCTTTTTTAAAAAAGGATAGCAGTCATTAAAAACAGCAAAAGTGAAAAGAGTTAATGCAAAATTGATAGCTTGTAATTTTAGTAGAGACTTCCTACCCCTAATAGTGAATGGTTCTTAGTGTTTACATTTTACTACATTTCTTTCCCTCCTTTGATAAATTGCCATGGAGACAGAAATACATAGCTTACTAGTTTATTTTGACCTCCATATTGGTGGAGGAATATTTGAACAGGCTAGGTTTGGGGTTTCTCTTGTGTTTATTTGCAAATTTAAGTATGTTGATCTTTTCCACTTAGCCTTTTTCATGGACCAGGTAGGCTGTCTCATTTACTCTTTTTTTTTTTTTTTTCCCCGAGACAGGGTTTCTATGTATTGTTTTGGAGGCTGTCCTGGAACTTGCTCGGTAGTCCAGGGTGGTCTCGAACTCACAGAGATCCTCCTGCCTCTGTCTCCCCAGCACTGGGATTATAGGTGGATGCCACCAACACCTGACTGGTTTTTGTTTTGTTTTGTTTTGAGACAGGGTTTCTCTCTATAGCCGTAGCTGTCCTGGAACTCACTTTGTAGACCAGACTGACTTTGAACTCAGAGATCCTCTTGTCTCTGCCTCTCTAGGGCTGGGATTAAAGTCTTTTTTTTTTTTTTTTTTTTTTTTTTTTTTGGTTTTTCGAGACCGGGTTTCTCTGTATTGTTTTGGAGGCTGTCCTGGAACTCACTCTGTAGACCAGGCTAGCCTGGAACTCACAGAGATCCGCCTGCCTCTGTCTCCCGAGTGCTGGGATTAAAGGCGTGTGCCACCATTTTTAACATGTGACAGAGAACTCACTGGAGTTCATTTCCATCCAGGTTAAGTCTTCTTAGATGTATCTCAGGCACTTTGAGAACCACTGAGTGTAACTTGCTTTTATTGCACTTGTTTATGTCGAGTGGGAGTGCAAGCAGTTGTGGAGGTTGGTGGACAACATATGAGCATCAGTTTTCCACCATGTGGGTCCTAAGGATTGAACTCAGATCATCAGGCTTGGTGGCAAGCATCTTTACCAGCTTAGTGGTCTCACTGATCCCACTGAGTATTTTATGCACACATTTTTTTTATGTTCTTTGCACTTTTGGAAAAGGTTTTTATACTTAAATATCATAACACCCAAAGTTTGTTGACTGAATAAATACCGAATCAAAAGAATATGCAGCAGCATATTTCAAGTACTTACAAACTATGAAATAAAAATGACTGGTTGATAGGTTAATATGAAATTTAGTTATAATTATTACCAACTTAAAATTTTTTAATGCAGTCTATAAAAAATTTCTGGACCTTTTATTATATGGTCATATAAAAAGTATTTCTCTGTGTGCTTAAGTTCTTAAAATAGGCTTTTCTTTAAGAGACTGCCTCTGATCCATTTAATAACTATACACTAAATATTCTCATAGTTAATATGCACTACAAGAAAGAATTTTCATGCTTTATGTTTTTGAGACAGGGTCTTGCTTTGCAGTTCTGGCCAGCCTTGAACTGAAAGCTCTAACTGTCTCAACCTCCTGAGTACTGGTATTATAGCCTTGCATACACATATGTCCTGTCCTTTTTTTTTCTTTTTAATAAGACATGGTAAAATGATATTTATTAACTTCAGTTAATGAATTAAAATTATTTTAAAGTATATTAGACTAAAAATCTCTCTGTCTTGCTCAATGGTACTGGAGATTAAACACAGGAACTCAGTAATATAGGCACACTCTTTGTGACTGAGTTTCATCCCTGGCCCACTTGTTTATTTTTTTGTCAGATCTTACTATGTAGCATTGACTGGCTTGGAATTCAGAGGTCGCCTTGCCTCTGCATCATAAGTGTTAAGATTGAAGGTTTATGTCACCATGCCCAGCATTGTTTCTTAAGACAGGTCTCATGTAACACAAGTCAGCATTAAACTTGCTATGTTGCAACACAAGTTGAGGCTGGCTTTGAACTCCTGAGATCCTCCACTACTTGTTCTGAGATTGCAGGTATGCATCATCATGCCTCACTCCTGTATCTCTGTAATATATAAAGTATGAATATGGTATGTTGTGGCTGATGTTTAGTTATATAGTGATGTATACAAATACCTTGAATTTGCACTGGAGAGATGACTTACCAATTCCCAGCACTCATACTAAGTGGCTCACAATCACCTGTAACTCCAGCTCTGGGAGATTCAGTGTCCTCTTTTTTCTTTTCTTTTTTTTTTCCAGATATATAATTTTATATGAGTCTTTTGCCTGTATATACATATATATATATACATACATACATACATACAAACATATATACATATATATATATATATATATATATATATATATATATATATATATATATACCACCTGTATGCCTGGTGTCTGCTGAGGTCAGAAGGCGTTGGGTCCTTTGAGACTGGAGTTACAGGTATTTTGAGTAGCTCATGTGGGTGGTGGGAATGAAACTCAGGTTTCCACAAAAACAAGGGCTCTTAATTGATGAGCCAACTTCAGCCCCTAAGTGTCTTCTTCTGACCTCTGAGAACACCTGTACATATGTGCACATACCTACACATAAACACATACCCGTAATTAAAAATAAAGTCTTTAATATTTTTAAATTTGATGGCCACCAAAGGATAGGTAAGAAGTAAGGCATTCTAATAGGGCTAGATGTATCCTATATATAAAACTATTTTCAAGAAACAGCCTTTTTATTAACTATCTTGAGGGGTGTGTGTGTTTTTAATGAAGATAAGGGGATTTAGACTAAATTTCCTTTATAGACTGATTTTCTTTTGTACCTGGGTAGAATAAACATCTACAAGATGCTCTTGACTGTGTGGGAAAGCCCTTAAATGAAGCATTATTAGAGATTTCACGTTAGTTCCTTTGGTTTGAAAACTGAGTGCCAGATAGCAGTAGCATTAAAAGATGTGGCTATTTTAGGAGAAGGAAGCTTGAGCCCAAGAGGTAGAATGATTGGTAAAGGAAGTTAACAGAAGAGCAGATTCCTGAGCAGAGTTATTCTTTTTTTTTTTTTTTTCCAGACAGAGTTTCTCTATATTGTTTTGGAGGCTGTCCTGGAACTCACTCTGTAGACCAGGCTGGCCTGGAACTCACAGAGATCGGCCTACTTCTGCCTCCCGAGTGCTGGGATTAAAGGCGTGCACCACCAACGCCCGGCTCATTTCTCATTTTTTAAGTTTCTTAACTGAAATAGAATAAGGTAGGCATTGATATTAGGCAGTTTTGAGGTCTCTGTGTCTAAGGCCTCTAGTGTTTTGGGAAGTATAATTGCATAATAGAGTAGTTCCAGACTTTTGGATTTCAAAAGAGACATTGCCCTCAAAGTTCAGAGGGAGCATAATTGCCAATAATAGCAGTAGCAATGGAGCAGGGCATGGTGGCATACATCTTTAGCCCCAACACTCATGAGGTAGAGGCAGGGGGAATCTCTGTGATTTCAAGGCCAGCCTGGTTTACATAGGAAGCTCTAGGACAGCCAGTTACTTAAGGAGATCTTGTCTCAAAAAACAAAAATTAATAATACTACTTTCTGTCACCATCTTCTTTTTTTTTTTTTTTTTGGTATTTTAAACAATTTGGAAGAACAGAATCTTTACATTAAACATTAATCTCCAGTACCACAGGGAAGGATCTAGAAACGGGCTGTTTCTTTATCAGAGTAGGATGTGCTGAGGCTCACAGAGGTAGTGGCATGGTTTCTAGAGTACTGGTGTAGAGCTTCCCCACTTCACATCCTTTCTTTTGGAGACAGGTTCTCACTATGGCGCAGGCTGGCCATGAACTCAACATTGATCTGCCTGTGTTTCCCTAGCAAAGACTGAGTACTACTATGCTCAGCCTAACCGGTTTAAAAATTTAAACAAGTTTTCATCATATGTTCTGACCCACCTCTTGCTTTTTGCTAAGCATTATTTCTACCACTCAGGGCCTGCTTCCTCTGTGCCTGGTAGTATCTTTACATATATTTGCTTGTAA